CCAGCAAGTAAACCTAATTTTCCTAGTTTGTTCCACAGTTTAAACCACAGTCAGTGGACAAGACGGCACTATTTCCAATCAACACCTTTTGTGACTTTATTTTTTTTTCAAAACAAAATTAGTTGGATTTGTTTTTAGGACAGTAACTCATAAATTGCTGAGCCAAAATGAAGAGTGATGGCATTTCTGCAGTTCAACGCATGCTCAGTAATTTATTATGAAAAAAAAGCTTAATTTAAATGTGATTCAGTAAGAGGAAGGAGGACCCGTTGAATTTAATTCACTTTTCTTCAGTAATGCTTCATCGACTACTGTAGGTCCAATATTCCCTACAAATGTGAATAAAACTAAAGAAATCACGAATATAAAAATTGAAAAAAAAAACTGATTTCTGGCAATGAAATGTATTTGAAATTAATAAACAAATACATAATATAAGTATGCAAAAGTGTTAACAACAAAATAACTTTGCTTCCCTTGGTCCCCCCCCCCTCCCTAGTTAGATATACAAAAGTATTCCATCTGCTTGCTCCACAAAAAAATTACACTTCTAAAAACCGTTAAATTATGGTAAATTTGCTTGTATTTCCCACTTTTTATAATTTCAAAGTGTGAGTACAGAAAAAAAAAATTCTGCTTAAAATTATACAGATGTTTGAAAAATTTGTGTAATTTTAAAAGAAAAAAAAAAAACGAATTAAAAAAAAGAAAATTATTTTTTTTTTTTTCAGACGATGGTTTTTGACTTTTTTCCAAGACACTGTTTTTATTACTACAAGAATAACGGATCATTAAGCTTAATGTATCGTTTTAGCCAAATTTCGCTAGTATATACTCGGAAGCACAGTAGCTTAAGCAGCCTGCAGTACTGGCATACCAATTGGACTAACAGTATTTTGAAATTATTACAATTGGTGGTTGCAGGAATTAGTGTTGAATGGGATATAAAATAAATTAAAATTCAATTAGCGATGAAAATTTGCAAGCATTGATATCAGTTTTAAAAATGCCACTTAAATTTAGTCAAAAAAAAGAAAAAAAATTTTGGAAATACACTTTATTGCCAGTAATTAGATGTCATTCTAAGACGCAGCGGTGTGGTGAATAACCAGCAGAAGCAGATTTGGCATTAAATGAACTCATCAGGTACAGTGCAACATCTAAAGCGACTAGTATTTTCATTGAAAACCATACAGTAAAGTTCATTTCAGACTGCTTAGGTTAGACGATGCAATAACAGAATTTATTTTTTAGATTTTATACTTTCCTTTCTTTTTGTTCATAAACAATATTTCTCGTTGTTGCAACTTTGTGAGCATATAAACAAGTTGTTAATGTATCGTATGTAAGCAAAAAAGTTGTTAGTTATTCTGTTGTAAAGTCCAAAGCAAGCATCATTGATGTGACTGGTAATGACTTCAAATCAACGGTCAGTAGCAAAAAATTCCTGAAGCAACACGGGCGCCTTAACTCCAGATTAAAAATTCAATTCTCCCAAACTTTAAAGACAGTGTTACCACAGTTGAGCGCCAAAATCTTGTTTATTCGGCAATTCATCGAGCACAATAAAGGATTCGCATCCCACATAAAAATAAAAAAAAGTGACGGAAGGACTTACAACATAAATTTTATTGCTAATTAATGGCATCAAATTGCATCAGAGCCAAGTCTCAAAATAAAGAAAAAATCCAGTGTCTAAAGCAACAACTTCAACTATAATCTAAAGTTTTTATCACAATAACGAACAACCATAGAAGACAAGTGAAATCTGTCGACAATAAATACTGCACCAGATACAAGTGGTTATCAGAAATTCAAGTGTCAATCACAACGACGATTAAAAAAGTAAATTAAAAAACACTTTCTTGCACAGTCCATCTTACCGCACTTTCTCTCTTAAAATCCTTCTTCAATTATACAAAGCTGATTCAGATAAAAACTAGTTTCAGACTATCTTCAAAAAAAATAATAAAACATAATTAGTCAAAGAACTTTCTATTCGGATTCTCCCCAAACAATGCGGTGCGAATTTGGGGCACAATCTGCAAACAAAAAATTCAAAAAAGTTGAAATGTGCTAGATAGTTTAATTAAGCATAAACTACATATATGATTCACACTTATAAACCGTACCATAATTACTGCAAAAAAGGAATATGAATTGGTACTATCGTTAAGCGTGAAAAATTCCTACTAAGGAGCGACTAAAGAATTTTAAAACTTCAAAAAATTAGAGTCAAATACATTAAGTACCTGGCTAGCAATAAGTTCAAGGCGAGATTCTAACGTCGAAGAAACCTTAATTTTTCCAGCTTTCGCAGTCATTTCTACGCCACCAGGGCTATCTGACGGCAAATAATTCTGTTTATCTATCGTAACCTCAAAATAAATTCCTTTTTTGTAAACTAAAATGTTGGGTAATATCCTCTTTTCAAAAATCAAATTGATAAGTGATGAAGCAAGAAAGCATAAAAACAAACTCAATTTAAACAACTTCAAAACCGGAGTATAACTTAGTTTCATCACTGCTAGACTTTTCTGGCTGAAAAAATAAAGAGTAATGTAAAAGAATAATAACTTCTGAAGCATACTCGACCCAACTAACTAAAGATCTTCATCATACGCGTTAATTATTTTTTCAAGAAACAAATCAAGTAACAAACGCATTTGAAACGAAAAAAACTAATAAGTCTTGCTAATGCTAATTTAAAAAAAATACTTTTGTTTTGTTCCCCCAGTGGGTTTCCAACTCCTCAACGCATTCCGGAAGCAGCTGCTCTACAAGCTGTACGTCGCATTTTCGACAATGTATGACCACCTCTTTCTCTAGCATTTGAAACAAAGCCTAGATAATATCAAAAATAGCTTAACAAGCTTGTAACTTGCATATTCAAAATTCAAAAAAGCATAGTATACCTGTAAAATTAACCCCTTAAGTATTGCAGGGTAACGTTCTTTGTTGTTTGAGATCCTTGATAAATTTGCACGCGCTTCATCTAGCACTTTGTGGAGATGATCTTCACGAGCCTTCAAAAACAAAGCGTAGTCAGGGAACCCCGAAACAGCTTTTACAAGAATTCTTTGGCGAAAGCAGTTCTTGATACCTACTTTAAGGCAAGCAAGGCGTCCCTGATTTAACATATTCGAGCTTTGGATTTTTCTTTGTAGTTCCACTTGCTTCTCTTTTTTCTCGTAGTATTCCAGAATTTTTGTTCGTTGTTGCTGTACCAGACGACCCTTAAATAGTCCTGAGACTAACAGAGCATGACGAAGAAACGTCAAAAGCAATGCATCGGCCGAGAAGGAAAAAATGCATTTGCTTAGGCTTAATTCAAATACTTTTTTGAATTTTTGAAAGCAGAAACTCTCGCTTACACTTTTCTATAGTTAGAAGACCAAACGATGGTAAAAAACGAATTGAAATATACAAAATCTCTCTGCACTTTTTCTTTATTTCTAAACGAAGCAGCTACCTTTTCAATATTAAATTCTTCCTCAGCCTTTGCATCAATTTCTTCTGCTTTCTCGGTAGCCTCTTGTTCTATAAAGGCCATCATATGATTCAGCTGCTTCTTCACGTCGTTGTCACTGATCCCCATTTTGAAAGAGACTTAAAAAAAGAGTGAACTATGACGGAAATTTATTAAACAAAAATATAAGACGTAAAAACACGCAACTGTAGAGATTTCACTGAAGTCTACCGTATAGAAGGTAAAGAACCAGGGTAACAAAGTGTAAAAAAAAAA